ATATAAGAATTAGGATAACAAATCACTAATGATATAAAATACTTGAAAAATACCGAATCTAATTTAGATAATATGGATTGTTTTATTTCTCAAAAATTCATTCTTTAAAATTGCAGAAAATTTTTAATATTTTTATTTCTATATGATAATATATTTACAAATTTATACTGTATTTAAAAAATATTTATGGCATTATAGTGAATTGATATCTATTCAGGTTTTTTTTTATTTTAAATAATTCTATAGAACACAAAATATTGTTTGGAAGATAGTTACGCTGTGAGTCTTTAACAGGGCACCTCTGCCATCTAGCGTTCACCTTGGGTTACATCATTTAAAGCTTCAAGTGCCATCTTTAAGGATCAATAATAAATTACCAAACACATAGAACATATATGCACACTCACAATAAAGACAGTGGTTTTGGAATATTATATTGCATTATTTGATTCATTGCACCAAACATAATTTTCTTTCTCTGTCTTAATTTTATTTGAAAAGGCGAGAAAGAAAAGTATACGTTTGTTCAGTGTATAAAAGTTAAAGAAAATAAAAGTGAAAGTGAGGACATTATCATAATGTAAGTAGGGAATGACGCACATAACATTTTTTTGGGTTTGCCTTACAGATTCTGTGCTGCCACCACTGAAACTGAAAAATTCATTTTGTGCATTGAAGGTAGATGATGGGCCATGCAAAGCGATGATGAGGAGATTTTTCTTCAATATTTTTACTCAACAGTGTGAAGAATTTATATATGGAGGATGTGAAGGAAATAAAAATCGATTTGAAAGTCTGGAAGAGTGTAAGGAAAAATGTGTAGTCGGTAGGTGTCTGGGAAGCCCAAGAGCCTGAATGGTTACTAGGTCTAATTTGCACTTGATAATTTTAGAAAACAAAGTAATACTATTTCCCAAGACATTCTATTGTTTACATTTATGGTCAGCTATTATTTTCCCTTTCTTCATATCAGCTTCTATAAAGTTAGTAAGCCATATTCCTTGTCTTATAGTCTTCTTTTATAGTCAAGAGGGGAAAAAAACCTCAAGTCCACAGATTTTCATATGTTCAATAAAATGAGTGTGATTTAACCTACCTGGTATCTGAGTTAGCAGTCAAGTAGACTTGACTGAGCCTTTGTAAACAGGATGATCTCATAGCCCTCTTTTCTGAAGACAATAAATCAGAGAATTCACTTTGAGGCAGAAAATTGTCATTCTTATGGAATTTTGGAATGCTGCAAACAAGAAAATTTCATCCACGCATACCCATGTGAACTTCACCTAATCCAGCTTTTCATGTTGATTTCACTGCTGTAAGTCTTAAAAGTACATCATAATATAACGTTAAAATTTACTGACTTTTTCTTATTTAGTCATGTAATTTTGTAATATTTTTGCAACATTTGCAAATTATGTTGTTGGCAGTTTCTCATTGGAATAGTCCAATTACTGGCTAAAGTTGCGAATGGTTCTATCTCAATATATTTTTATGAAATATTAACTACTTGATACATAGAAGATTCTCAGTTACCTTTATTTCCACAATTTCATGCTCAATATTCCCTATAGCTTGTTCTTAGGTTGAACTGACTGAATTATGGTGCTGTAGTGATGGCTCCAGTTAGTAGCAGCATGTGTATTGGCATTTTGCAAAGCAGGCAGCTTTACCAAGCAGCTTTCCTAAACAGTTTGACCTAATGATGCTTAAGGGGAAAGTCACAGTGAGATGAGAAAGCAACATTCTCCTCTCATTCTAGGTGATGCTTTGCTGCTTCATCCAGAGCCCTGATCTCCCTTTCTTTTTACAGATGTCACTGACACACCTCATAAAGTTCATGAGTGCTCAGTGGTGCCACTGGTGTTTGTGATGGTTTGATCATTTCCATTCACCACACACCTGTACCTTCTCTTCTTTTTTTCTGTTTCTGTTGGGAAAGTACCATTTTGGATTGAGTTGAAGATGCTCTTTCACCTGCTTTCTTCTGTTCTTTGGCCAGAGTGTTGGTTGGCTCACTGTCTGTTTTTCATATGTCAGCCTACTTAATTTTATCAGCTGGTCCATTCTCAGAAATTTATACCTCTTATTCTTCCTTTTTAATTCATAAAGTCTTGAATTTCAATATTGTGCATAAATTACTTCCCTAGAAGTTATCAAATACAACCATCATGTTTTCAGTATAGGCTAGCCTGCTTTAATATCTTTCAGATCATCATACCCAACTAGCATACAAACAAATGTAAATCTCTGTGGATGCAAAACCACAACTCTCACTTGTATCAAGGGGATTTAAGAAAGTTTTTCTGGAACATGGCCCAGGAATATGAATTCAAGTTGCACAAAGTTCTATGTTCCAACATGGTAATAATTTTATAGTAACAGAACAAAGAAAATCATAAATGAAATCACTTTTCAACAAATACAGTAGTGGAAATATCAGGTAAGATGGTTCTTGAAAAGCAGAGAGAGCTGAGCTATATGCTTTAGATACTACTTAGCTGCGTTTTTAATCTTTTGTTTGGTGGAAGTTACTGCTCGGCTTGCATATTCTAAAGGATTTACCTGATAGTCACACGATATTAGGTCATTTGTAGAACAAGGCAATAAAATTCTATTTAAAGATGTCCCAGGAAATTTGGCTCTTCCCTTGGAAAACAGCAAGCTCTCTATAGTCATTGAAGTTCTAATTGGCCTGTGGTCAAGTAGGTGTGTATTCTTTGCAGGAATTTTCCTCTGCAATCTTATCTTCATCTCCAACTTATTTTTTTTGCAAGAGTATTTAATGAACATCTATTCTCTTTAGAACAGTGTTGGTGTTAAGGATACAGCTAACATATAGGAAACATATTGTTAGACTTTGAAAAAAAACACCAAAGGATATAACATCTTCAGTTATGATAGAATAATTACAAATCAGTGTTTCATCTAACATGAGGATCTAAAAAACATTCAGACAAAATATTAAGACAAATGAGTGCCAAGGTTGATCAAAGCATAGTTCCAGGTTGCAATCTGAAGAATGGAACTATGTAAGATGAGCCCTTGGGCTCTTTGCATGATGATCCTGGACCACAGTTGTCCTGGATAGTTTCAGTTGTCAACTTGACACACTTGCACAGAGGGAACTTCCCACCAGTTATTAAATATTTAAACAATAATCAATTGTGGCCCAGAAGTAGGAAAAATTATTCAATCTAAATAGAAGATAGAAAAGTGACAGAATGAGAAAACAATTCCTTTAATAGCTATTAAAGATGTACTAAATAACTGAAAGAAAAATGTGCATATTAGAGAGAGAAACAGCATATATAAAAGAAAACTAAATAGAAATCCAAAACCTGAGCACTATCATTTGTAAACTAAGAACTCTATTGTAGAGCAGATTAGATACCACTGGAGAAAAGATCAGGACACTTAAAGATAATAGCCTGTTCAAAATGAAATATGCCAGCACAAACAGGAAGAATTCTGTCATTTGTGATGACATGGAAGGACATAGAAGTCATTATATGAGTGACATTAGGCAGGCAGAGAAAGATAAGTGCTTTATGATCTCAGGCATACACAGATCCTAATGAGGATGACTTTTTGAAAGTTAAGAGTAGCTGGTTACCAAAGTTGGGGGGATACTGTTGGCCATGAGGAGAGGTTGAGCAGGGGAACTATGGTACAGATAGGAGGAAGAAGCCTGGCATGCCAATGCACAGTAGAAAGGCTATGGACAACAGTAAGATGTTAGAAACTTCAAAAGCTAGACAGGGACAGGAAAGAATGTTAAGAGTGGTCATTTCTCTTCCAGAACACCCTAGTTCAGGTTCCTGCATTCACATCTCATGACTGACAACTGCTTGTATCTCCAGCTCCAGGGGAAACTAATGCTGCTGATCTCTGCAAGCACCTGCACTCAAATGCACATACCACACACATATACACACACAGTCACACACATATTCTTAGTATTAAAAAAATAAAATAAACTTTTTTTTAAAACTAAACAAGTGTCTTAAAAGTTTCCAGTGTAAAGGAATGACAAATATTTGAGGGAACAGTTACATTTAGTCTCATTTAAAAATCATTCAATGTACATATGTATTGAAATATGACACGGCACCCCTCTAATATGTATGTTTTTATGTTTTAATATGTCAGTGAAATATAAACTTAGTGTGATCTGGTGGTTCAGCTTATTGGTAGACCTTTTTGCATAGCATATTAATATCCTGGGTTTGATATACAGCATTACAACAAATAATAACAGTAACAAAATAAATGATTAAAGATGGCTGACTATAGCAATGTTTAGATTTAAGAAACTAATTCACCAAGACATTCTGTATATTAATATTCATGATTATTTTGTTCTAGTTCAAGTTCAGATTCATAATACTATATTACAGGTGATCGATCACAACTAATAAACATACTTTCTTTTTGCAGGTTATACAAAGAATGTAAGGACAACATTTCGAGCAGGTGAGCATTGACTTATGTATAAATTAGTAGCCTGGGTTTTGTTTGTGAAAAAAAGTTTATAATTTTTATAAATTAATAACAATGTTCAGTGCTTCAATTAAATGAAGCCATAATTATTTGTAACACTGAAGAAAATACCATATTTATAAAATGACTTTGTCTACCAAGTAAGATATTTTCAGGAAAGGAAATAACAACATTGAAATAGCATGATCTTTCTCCTAAAACATAAAATTAGAAAAAAAAGGAATGCAGGTAAAATTTTACTGTAAAAATATAAATTCTGTTTGTAAGTTAAAAAACAATCATTCTTAATTTATGTTAAACATGAAAGGTAATAAAGCTATATTCATATGATTGTTAAAATGTTTAGTCACTAGAATCAATCCATAGCAAAAGCTCTATCAGCTTGAAGCTTATATGGTTCCTGACTTTGATACAGGGATGTGCCAGTTCCCTGGTTCAATGATAATGAATATATAAAAAGATATCAAAGAGATATTAAAAGCTAATGCTGATCCAGTACAATCTTTCAGAAAGAAAAATTAGTCTAAAGCTATTATTTCCTAGTTTGCAAGAATGCACAAAAATTGTCATTGTGTTTCTACAGCGTATAAAAGGTAGTGCGTGGCTTGGAGTTATTCTGTTGCTCAGTTTTCACTGATTACCATTTACAATGAGTGTGTGTAAAAAAATCTAACAGAATGAAACTTTATCTAGGAAATATTGGGAATCGGTCTCTTGATTTGCAATCTCATTTTAAAATTTAAACCTAACAATTATTTTATATGTGTGTATTTTCAGCTTTGCCCTAAAATAAATTCATATATTTGGATAAAATTTTAGAAAAGAAATAAAAATAACTCCCATGTAGAATTTATTAACTATAATTATCAATGTGAATTATATTACCATTTTCTGTTCTTTATGTGCAATAGATTTCAGTCACTTTTTAGTGCATAAAATTTGTATTTTCTTAAGATTTTTTAAAGTTTTGCAAAATTTGTATACTAACATCAATCAAAACTGCAATTGAATATATTTATCCTTTCCCTTAAAATATTTTTAGAACATAAATAAATGGTTGGTTTGTTTGTTTTGATTCCTGAATGTGACATTTAACTAGAGATTATCGTAACCAACACTTTAAAGGGCAAGAATACTGTAAGAAAAAAAAAATGCACAGCACTAATAATCAGGGAATTGCAAACAATATTCAACAAGCTGTCAATTCAATCTCGTTCCAATGGCTGTTGCCAAAGAAAAAAAGACAGTAGTGGTGATAGGAATGTGAATTTACCTGGTCCTTGTGGAAACCAGTGTGGAAGAGCCTCAAAATTTTTACATTAAAAATAAAACTGCCATGTGATCTAAGAATCCCATGACTTTGTACACATCAATGGTAAATGGAATCACTAGGCTTCCCCGCCCTGTTCACTGCAACATTATTCTCCAATGGTCAGGACAGAAAATGGACAGAAATTTCCATTGGTAGACAAATAGATAAAGAAAATGTATCATATTATGCATTTTGGAATACTATTCAGCCATGGAAAAGGAGAAAATCCCATAATTTGCACTACATGAATGAATTTAGGGAACATTATGCTGAATGCAAGAAACCAGACAAAGATTCATACATCATGATCTTGCTCATGGAATCTTAAAAGGGTGATCTAAAAGTAGAAAGTAGGGGCTGGAGAGATAGATGGTTTAGGGGTTAAGAACACTAGCTGTTCTTGCAGGAGACCCCGGTTCGAATCCCAGAACCCACATGGCAGCTAACAACTGTCGGTAACTCGAGTTCCAGGGTATCCGACAGCCTCTTCTGTCCTCTGCAGGCATTGCACGACACATGTGCACTTACCAACATGCAGGCATAACACTCATACACACAGAATGAAAATAATAAATAAAATACTTAAAAAATAAATAAATAAAAGTAGAAAGTAGCACCATGGTTATCAGAAGCTGAGAGATGGGAGAGGTGGCTGAGGAGATATTGGTGTAATGTTACAAGGAGTCACTACAGGGGAAGAAAAATTCAGAAGATGTGTAATACAGCAAAGTGACTATAGTAACAGTCATATAATTTATTCTTGAGGAATTCTGGAAGAATGTATGTTTTATGTTTCTCAGTCCCAAAAATATTACAACCATGTGAAGTGATATATGTTGATCAGCCAGCTTTAACCATTCCAAGATGCATGTGTGTTTGAAGACATCATGTTGTACACAACAAATTCTTGTATTTTATCGATCGGTTTTAATAAATTTGGAAAGGAAATAACATAATTATACTAATGTTCACCTTAAAAATAGGAGTGCATAATAAGAAGCAAAGTTAACTCAATTTGGGACTTTGAGAAGTTATAGGAAATGTATTTTGATTCTTAACTAAAATGGGATTTTCATAAAAATTTAAATATGGGCTTCTTCTCTTGGTCTGCTATTGCTGTTGATATCACAGACATTATTCAATAATCCTCTCTGATGTTAAAACACTTGTGCATGTTGATTCCCTGAAATAGAAGAACAGGTTGCCTTGAGGTACAGAAGGCATACTTCATTTTTGCCACCTTAGAGAAGGAAATGAAGGAATTGGAACGTTTTCCGAAATATTCAAGCACAATAACACTTTTGATCTTAACACATTTGAGAATTAGTTCGTTCATCTCCACATTATGCATATAGACAGAGATGGCAATGTAGGTCAGAATATCACAACTTCTGCGACAGCTGTGCTGGTTTGGAGTATGATCAAAGAAGGGCTATTAGACTTTTGCAAAAGCCTCTCTAATCCCTGAGCATGTATTTCCTTTCTGCCTTTGCATTGTTTGTTGATTCCAACACTTGGGAGAAAAAGAAAAAAGAGAGAGAAACGGGGCAAGTGAGGGAGAGTCAGTCCAGTGGAGCACGCCACACTAGCACAGAAACTAATCCCAGTGTTAAGAATTCAGGAACTTCCAAGAATAGCCATGAAGCTTCCGTGCCTCTCAAATCCTTTCCAAGTTCTAAATCCCCTAAAGCATCCTTAATGAAACAACTTGCCACTCTCCTTTCCTTCGTGATTCTCACACTTCAGTAGATTTTTTTTTCCTTAGTATCAGAGCAAGCAACCCTAGTAGAAATAATTCAGCTAAAACATGCCGTAATATTTTTAAAATATTTTATTTATTATTTTTATTTTATATGTATGAGTGTATTGCCTGTATGTATGTGAATGTACCAGTTTCGTGTAATGCCGTGGAGGTCAGAAGAGAGCGTCGGATTCCCCTGGAACTGGAGTTAAGGATGGTTCGTATCTGCCATGTCAGTGCTGAGAATCGAACTCAGGTCCTCTGCAAGAGCAGTCAGTGTCCTTAACCACTGAGCCGTCTCTCCAGCCCCTGCCCATAATATTTTTACTTCCAAAGGAAAGCACAAGAATTCAGGAACTTCTGAGAATAGGCTTGCATTTTTCCACACCTGTCATACCCTACCTATTCAGTTCAAAATGAAAGTGAGTTAATTAACCTTATTCTTTCCTATGAGAAATGAGACTTGAAATGCCAGATAAAAATTATAGGAAATAGTTTCACCTGCCTTATTCCAAATACTATAATAGGTAGATAATTTCAGTGTGGTCTTGTTTTTAATGAAATAAGACAGATTTTTCAGGTTTAGTCTAAACTTTTAAACCTGAACGTTGGTAGGTTCTTCCAAATAACAAGTTAATTATAAATTTAACTAAAACAGCTAAATTATTTACAAAATAAAAATATTTCTTTCTGACATATCTTATAATTTCTAGAAAAGCCAGATTTCTGCTTCTTGGAAGAAGATCCTGGAATCTGCCGAGGTTACATTACTAGGTATTTTTATAACAATCAGTCAAAACAATGTGAACGATTCAAGTACGGCGGATGCCTGGGCAATCTAAACAACTTTGAATCTTTGGATGAATGTAAGAACACCTGTGAGGATACATGTAAGTTTATTTCTCATTTCATTGTGATCTTCTTACAGGTCTTGTTTAAAAGAGAGCCTTTTAGAGAGCATGCCCAGATTGTTTTAGCCACACAAATGAAGAATAGGTCTGAAATAGATTCACCACCACATTAAGAAATAATCACAAAGAATTAGCACATTTATAAAATTATAAATCTCATTTTTAAGATATAGTACTTAACTTTCTTCTCTTAGAATACTGTCATATAAATTTGGCATCATTATAGGACTGCTGAAATCTTATATTTTTATATTTGAATTTGGGGCCGGAGACACGGCTCAGTGGTTAAGAGCACTGGGTGTTCTTGCGGAGGACCCAGATTCAGTTTTCAGTACCCACATGGCAGCTAACAACTGCCAGTAATTCCAGTTCCAGGGAATCTGGCACCCTCTTCTGACCTTTGTGGTCATTTTATGACACAAGTGCACTTATACACATGCAGACAATACACTCATATACATAAAATTTTAAAATAATAAAATAATTTTCAAAATACTTAAGGATAAATAACCATCTACTCATAAAACATAAGGGAAACCGTAAGCATTAATTATTGCATGTTTTTGATTAATAGCTACAAAGTTACTAATGGAAATATTCAGGCACAAATTTAAAGTTCATTATTGCTAATTTAGTGCTGCCACAGGATTGAATTGCTGCAAGTCTGCTGTTCTCAACCAGCTGTTGTTTTTTATTGTGTGTACAGACAGGGAATTATATCTGTCTTCTCAGGCTGTAATTGCCTGTCATTTTTTTCTAGTGAATGAGTTACAGGACAATGACTACAAAATCCAGCCGGATGCAGTAAATAACTCTTTGATACCCCAACCTACGAAAGTTCCCAACCTTTCAGGTAAGAATCTAATCTTTTTAAATTTTTTGAATACATTATCACGGTAACAATAAAAGTGGATACATTTAAAATTATCTTTTTAAAATATTTTTAAAAATAAATTAAAAAAAAAAAACATTTCTTGGGCCTGGAAAGATGGCTCAGCAGTTAAAAACACTGGCTACTCTTGCAGAGGACCCGGGTTCGGTTCCCAGCACCCACATGATAGCTAACAACCATCTGCAACTCCAGTTACAGGGGATCTGACACTCTCTTCTGACCTCTGCGGGCATTGTACAACACAAGTGCACTTATATACATGCAGGCAATGCCTCATACATATAAAATAAAAACATAAGGAAGGGAAATCTTAAGTATTAATTGTCACATGATTTTGACCAATAGCTACAAAGTTACTAATGGAAATATTCACACACACACTTAAAGTTTATTATTTGCTAGTTTATTGTAGCAATAGGATTGAATTGCTGCAAGTCTACTGTTCTCAACAAACTGTTGTGTTTGATTGTGTATACAGATAGGAAATTATATCTTTCTTCTCAGATTTCAATTGCTATAATTTTTTCTAGTGAATCAGTTACAGGTGGATGACTACAAGACCCAGCCGAACACTGTAAATAACTCTTTGATTACTAGACCTACCAAAATTTCCAACTTTTGGGGTAAGAATCTTATTTTTTATTATATTTCAAATATATTATCATGGTAACAATAGAAGTGGATGTGTGCTAGAATTATTTTTTAACAATAACCTTTTGTTGGGGCTGGAGATATGGCTCAGTGTTTAAGAGCACTGGCTGCCCTTGCAGAGAACCTGAGTTCAATTCCCAACATCCACGTGCATATGGCAGTTAACAACCTTCTGTAATTCCAGTTCCACAGGATCCAACACCCTCTTCTGATCTCAGAGGCATTGTGACAGGGGTATACTTGCATACATGCAGGCAATACACTCATACACATAAAATAAAAATAGAAAAATTATTTTTAAAAACTTTTTGTTATTTAGAAAAGGATATGTTAAAATAAGGAAATTTGAGGAATTTAAGGTATTTAATTTCATAAAGTAGTCATTTTTTCTTAATCTCTTAAATATTCTTTAAAGTAGTGCCTTTGAGTGTGTAGCAAATGGAGAACACACACATGGTAGCTAGTTCTGTGCCAAACTTATAGAAAATTGTAATAGGAATATCAGACTCGGGGCATCATGTAAATCTCTGTAGTTGATGTAGCAAGTTGAGTGTGTGTCAGTCAATCCCTGGCAGGATCTAGGGTGCTAGTCAGAGAACAGTGGTAGAATAGCCATCCCCAAAGGGTTGTGACTTGGAGGGGATTGTCTTTGGACTCATGCAGGGATCCTTTCTGTGATCTAACCTGATAGCATCTTTATCAGATGAAACAAGCATGCAAGAAAAGTTTCCTTAAAAATATAGACTCAGCTGGGCATAGTGGCACACACCTTTAATCACAGCACTAGGGAGGCAAAAGCAACCTGATCTACATAGTGAGTTCCAGACCAGCTGGGACTGTAAGGAACCCTGTCTCAGAAACAAACAAACAAAAACACACACAAATAATAAAGAGCTCAGAAAATAGTAAAAGTGAGGAAAAATAAAACATGAACAGCCTAGAAAGCTGAAAAACAGTCTGAAGTCTGGCCTGGATTTTTTTTTTTTTTTACTGCATTATTACAAATTTTATACAAACTGTTTTGTTCATATTTCTATTACCTCCCCTATTTGCACACTTCCTAATGCTCTTTTCATGCTAATTTCATGTATTCTCTCATATTTATTAAGGTCTATCAAGTCAAATTTGTGTCCCCAAATACCCTTCTGTGTGGGTCTATCCCACTGGAGCCTGGTTAACCTATCTAGTCTCACATCCTTAAAGAAAACCCATTCTCCATCTCCCAGCAGCTAGCGATTGGCTGGCTTGAATTTTAAGTCACATCTGTTCATTAAGAAATATGGGATTTTGCTTAGAAATAGTCAACATGGATGTGGGATGTGTCATCTGTTAAGTGGGCACAAGACTAAGGAGTTCTGTGGCTGTCAAATTTGCAGTCTTTCTATTAAAAAAGAAAGAAAAAAAAAAGAATTCTCCCTCCAAGCAATGTATCAGAAACTGACAGAATTCAGAATTGAAAATTATTCATAATAGAAATTAAAATAAGAACATCAGCAAGTATACAAACAAAAATCCTGCCCAGGTGAAATTAAAGTATTTCTGATGTTGACTAGCACTTGTTTAGATCAATGACTGTGATCATTTGCTTAGTCTTTTACTGTCCTAATCAGGACTGCTGTCAGCCCTCAGTGCCAGACCTGAAAAGCTGCCCAGAGAATTTAAAACAAGCTTACACAGAAACTGGGAAGGGCAAAGGAGACAGTGGAGCTCAAAGGGAACACCATACGTGTGCTCAGTACTTGAGACCCTATCATATGAAAGACCAATTAACTCCTGTCTGTAAGCACCTCACCCTTTTTCCTACCCACTCCCCATCCTGCAGACCAGCCAAAGCAACTGAATCAATAGGTGAGAGCTAAAGAATGAATGTGCTCTCTAAGGTATTTATCTTTGATGTAAGACCTTAAAAATGAATGGTGGTTTCAAGGATTGGTAAATTCTTTTTATTCAAGCAGTACTCTAGTAGCACTAGACATCATAAAGAGGGTTAACCAATAGGGAATATTCAAAATGCTTTCAGGTCTTTAGATCCTATTACTAAAGAATTGAATTCGATTCCAAATGATTTCAAGTCTTTTTTTAAATATTGCTGTGTTTGTAATAAGTAATGTGTTTATGACTTATAGCCGAATTTGAGCAGTTTCATTGCACAGTTTCTGTGTTTCTTTCCAGCTGTATACCTTTCAAATGTATTTTGTTTTATCCTCATAAATACGACATGTATGCTAAATCCTGTATAAAAGGTGTGAAATTTTATGATGAATATTTCTATAAACAAAAATGTATGAAATCAGTTTTCAATATGTTTCAATGCTTTTGTTTGAATATAATGAGAAATCAAATGGAACTCTTCAATCATTTATCATTAAAATGAGTAGTTTAGGTTATATATTTGCTTTGAAAATATAAAGTACAGATTTCATGATTTTTCACAGTTGTCCTACCAGGTTAGAGAGGGGAAAACAAAGGAAAGAAATGTGAAAGAGAAAACAAATCAGAACCATAAGCAATGTGTTAAATATCCACTGATCTATGCCCATTCTGAGTTTTTAGGAAGGTGCATATCAAAAATAATGATAGGTAAATGGTTATAAAATAAATTATTAGCTAAAGAAGCAGGAAAAATTGGCAAATGAATTTCAAAGAAAATATCAACTTGAAGTTTTAAAACAATGAACAGTTAAAATAAATGTTTTCATGGTGAATGCATTTAAAATTTAAAAAGTTTTGTCCTTTATTTGTTAAAAAAGACTGTTTCATTTTTATTGTACATACTTGTCACAAAGTATGTATTCCAATTTGAACTATTTCTGTCTTTTCATAATAATGTACTACATTCATTTTTTTCCTTTTGTTTTATAACCTACCAAATCTAAGGCAAGGAAACACTTCAATCACTACTATAATAATTTTTTTAAAACTACCATAAAAAGCATGGTGGCACACGCCTTTAATTCCAGCACTTGGGAGGCAGAGGCAGGCAGATCTCTGTGAGTTCAAGGCCAGCCTGGTCTACATAGTGAGTTCCAGGACAGCTGGGGCTACAGAGAGACCCTGTCTCAAAAAGACCCCCACCAAAAAAAAAACAAAACTTGATATTAACAATGGTTTACCATGCAGAACTTGGCAATAAACTCTGCCTCCCTTCTTTCTAATAATACATAATCCCAAGTTGTCTTACTCAGGATGCAGAAGATGGAATCAGATATGCTGTCTACATGGTCCAAAACCATGATAATCCCTTCTCCTCTCCTTCCATGTGACTGACTGTGATCTATAACACACTCTCAAGTTCCCAACTCAGAAAAATATATCCAACACTGTATGCAATTATATTAATATATTCTATTATACCTCCATAAAAAAATGTTTCTAGGTCCAGGTAAACTGTTAGTTATCAATGGTTTTGTCAAATATATAAAATCTCTAAGGGTTTTTTTTAAAGATGCAACTCCTTTAATATTTCAATTTAGTATATAGGAATAACATACAAGACTAGCATGCTTTAAAAAATCTTTCCATTAAAGAATAATCTTTAAGTTTATTTGAATATAGTAAATTTCAATTTTTGTTTATTATTAAGTGTAATATTAATAAATATAATTCTCTTTCTCATATTAGAAAAACACATTAGAATTTCTTTTTAATGTTTAAGTGTTACAATATGGTTTGATACATTATTTTCTCACTGTAATTTATTTTTGGTTACAGACATTTGTAAATGGATTAAAGAATATATTTTTTAGTGATCCTTCTTGATTCAAGATATCTGGATTCTAACTAGGCACTATTGAGGGTGAATTTATGACTTTTATTCCCATATTTCAGTATTAAGAGATCCAGTGGGCCATAAAATAAAGAGCCTTGTGGTACCTCAGGAAGATTTTTGGAAATCATGTACCCAACAACATCTGAGTGTTATTTGAGTCTGCTCAAAATTCTACTTAGAAATGATAAATGTGTTTTCACTACACTTGTGAGGGAAATAATTCTAAAGCAATTTCTCTAACTCTGTTTTTTGAGTACATAATCTTCAGAATGAAAACCCATCATGGTGGACTTCTGTTGACTCTCCCTTGTGGTAGACAGTGTCACAGAGTAGATAAAGACCCATAAACCCAAAAGCATGATTTCTAACCCCAACCTTATGCCTGATGGCTGTGTAGCTCTAAATTCTCAGTGTTTCCTTCCCACAGTAAAATGAATTTATATGTCATATGACTAGCATGGCAGGTTTTGTTGTGATATTAAGTCAGTTCATGTCCAAAGCTCTCAGAGCTGAGAGTCTATGCTTCCTAGTGCTGATTGCTCTTTGCCCATGGTGCCACTCAAAGTGTCACACGTAACTTCTAGAGCCTCAGTTTCTCATCTCACAGTTACTGTTTGCTAGAGAAATTAATATTAAACCCAGCTATGAAATAGTTAAAAATTCCGATAGATACACAAGTACTCACTTTCAAAAATGCAACTAATATTTAAAGAAGAACTCTCACTAGAATTAAATAAATGTACTTATGGAATTTCAAATGTTTCAGAAATGTTTATCTAAAAACAAGGTCAGACACTGGCATTCCGAAGTATAGAGCTTCAAGACCAAACTACTTATTTGTATAATTTTCTTCATCTTTTCAAAATCTCAAACTTTCTAAACATTCAGACTTCTGCTACTGTTTTTTCTTAGTTATTTCAGAATGAACATTTGGAAATTTCTTTTGATTGCTTTTCTTCCAGTCATTCATTAAATTTGATTATTTTTTAAATAAAATGTCCACTTATCTCTTCTGTTTTAAGTCCTATATGTTTGCTCGAATCATGAATCTCCATGCTTGTTTTACCTATACAATCATATATCAACAAAACTAGAACAATAATGAAAGTCAAAGGGAACACTGAAAATTGTTATATATTTCGTTAAAATATATATGTGCTGGCAGAAAAATCTGAATTTTCATGAATTTTCATTTTAGTGGAT